ACTTATACTTTAGAATAGTCTCTTGCTCTCCTGGTCGGTCAATTGCACTGGTATACTGATGTGTCGAAGCATCAATGTCTCCAGAAAGACATCCCACGGGGAGTACACTTAGTGCATTGACTGACCAGGAGAGCGAGAAACCATTCCAAAGTCTTAGTGGTGGAAAAACTGCACTCGATGAACAAAGTGTTTGTGTAGCAGAGTGTTTGTGTAGCAGAGTGTGGTGACAACATGTTCGAAGAAGTCCGGAGAACAGTGTAACTAACATACTCTGAGTTGTGGAAGCAGTGTGGGAGGTGGGCAGGAAGAGTGGGGAGGGGGGCACAAGTTCAAGGTTAGAGTGCTCCATATACTAAGTTTTTTGGCGGGAAAACTTAATCCAATTAATTAACCAGGTGAGGGTGCCAGGTAGTTTTTTTTGGGCGGGAAAATTGACTCGAAAAGAATCAGCAAAACAAACCTACACCCATTATTCACTCAAAGTTCTTTCAGACTAGATTTAACGGTATCAGCTATTTTAAAACCTGCCCAAATTTTACACCGAAAACTACCTGCCTGAACGTAAGAAACTTAAAACACAGAGGCTACATTTTAAGTAGAAAGTTTTTATGTAATTTGTCAACTCAACCTCTCACTGTGACAGATCTACTGTAACAGTATTTTTAGTTGTACATGTGATCAACTTTAAATGCATGGGAGCGTCTTTTTAGCGAATGACCACAAATGACCATTCTGGGGCTCTTCTTGTCGCACGAATCTGATTTTTTTTTGTTGTGGCCATGTCCAGATTGTACTCCTATTTATTAATCCAAAGTTTTATAAATCATTATTGACAGTTTTACTTCCGTCTTTTAGCAAATGACCACTTAACGCCCTGTAAAATATCAACCCTAAGACATGTGGGCCAAAATCCACCACCACAGATGATAAAATTCAAATAGGTGTCTCCTGAATTCCTACGATTTTTCCGTGCTGTACTGTGACGCTTTTAAAGTACCTTTTTCGGGCAAAGTATACATCACAATATTTCGGCAAAAATGGTACTTTAAAAGCGTATACAGCACGGAAACTTTGCAAGAAGGAGATGCCTATATTTTGGACTTGTTTCTGGTGGTCCGGATTTTTAGCCAAGTTGTGCGAAGGCCAATAATTTGCAGGGCATTAAGTGGTCATTTGCTTAAAAGACAGACGTAAAACTTCAATCTATAAAACTTCAGATTAATAAATGGGAGCACAATCTGGACATGACGAAAGCAAGAAAAAATCAGATTCATGCGACATGGAAGGCCCCAGAATGGTCATTTGTGGTCATTCACTAAAAAGACACACTCAACTCTTTTAACTTACAATTTTAAGTCAATTGAGACTATATGATTATTAATGTTTATCTTTTGCAGAGACCATCAGGACCAGGAAAGATATCCTGCCCCACTGTCAAGGCCATACCTGCTGGACACTGGACTTTTATCAATTGCTAACTGTTCCTCTATCTACAGTTTAGCTATACTAAGATTGAGTTTAACCTCCTTCTACCTACACTGTCTTGACTGCAAGTAGTAGAAAGCTGAACTTGAGAGTAATTATAATCCTTGCAAAAAGACTAGTAGACTTGTTTTGCTGATTCCTCCCTTTGAAACATCACACACAGCTTACCTGTTAGTAGTACATTGAATTTCACTCTACAGAAAGAAAGCACAACACTGCCTTTTCCATTTTCTGTAAAGAAATAGGACATATTCTAAACAATCATTATGTGACAAAAGTACTTTCCCAGAAATCCACTCTATCATTGTTTAAAAAAGAAAAGTTTGTGAAACGCCTATACTGTGTTTTTGTATATATTTTTTAATATGAATAATTCTGTTTCACCATGTATACTGTCATATCTTCGCACAAAGGACTTTTTCTTAAAGGAATTTAAAAAGAGCAGATCGTAATACAGTTTTGTCATTGTTTTGAACATTTCATATTCTGGACTTTCCTTGGAAGAAAAGCTTACATTTTGTACTGTCATATGTTCCAAATCATGGTTGGTATTATTTTTTTAAAGTCAGAAAAAGAAAACAATTTTGTCAGATACCAACAAATGCCAAATCTTGACTGTGCATGTAACGTTACATCTTCACCAGTAAACATTAACAGCTAGAGTTCATGATCATAATGAAATGTCTCTTCATTTTTTTCCATTTTGAATGCTTTTATTTTGCTGAACATTGTTGCTTTATTGATTGTTTTGAATCACATATTTTCGTTTCTGAACATTTTCATTATTATAATAGAAATGGTTTTTTTAAAGTGTGGATGTGGATCATGATGAAGAGGATATCAGGGAAAACAGTTTGATCACAAATGATTTTGAAAATATATCCCATTGCTATACAGAATGAAACTACAGGCAATCATTACAAGTGCTTTCCTAAATAGGAAAATGTACTGTGTTCTCCGTCATATTCGCAATAAAAGATTAGTCACAACCTTAAACTAAATATTAATTAGGAATGTGAACTCTTTCAGAAAATGACAACAAATAGCAGGGAGGGCCTAGCTGAGTTTCAACAATGACTTTTACTAAAAAGTTTTATAATAAAAAATTCAGAGGATTCGCAAACATGCCCTTTCCCAACATCTTTCATTGTCATTTTTAAGGATCTGCATGGGAGGTCCCGATCGCGCTTTGCATGCTAAATTTCATACGGCAGCGACCGCGATTTACATTTTTCAGGTTGGTTTCACGTAGATTAAATTGATATTAAATCAGAGTTGTTCAACCTTAATTATGCAAAATTGAAATGACAAGGTGCAGAATGCTGCAAAGCAACGAGCACGTATTACGGTTCACTTGTACTGGCTGGACGTTTTATCACACAGATAACAGTTTAACGGTGAATAGATTGACCCGACTTTCCATTATGCAAACACTAAAACGGCTGATTACGCATTGCGGCATGCAGACCACATTTTTGAAAGAGTTTATAAATAAAAACCAACTCACAGTCAAGTCCGATGTTCTCTTCTCTCTTGTGGATAGGTTAATAGGTTCTTTAGAAACAGGTAGATCCTCCTCGAATAAAGAAAGGACTTCTAGAGTGTTGACAGGTACACAGGATAGCTGACAGGTCCCACAGCACACACAGGAGACAGGTCCCACAATGTCAGCTATACATTAGCAGCATCTTAAGCCTAGGGTGTAAAAGAAATACACATTCAGAAAGTTACAGGCCAAATATTAGAGAATAACAATTACTAACAATGTATCATACATTGCAATATTCAAATCGTTAGTTTGAGGTCTAAAATCTTCTTTGGGTTGCCGATTAGAGCAAATTCTCAGCATAAGCTACTTACCTTCCAAATTTCGTGACCCTAGCATGCATGTCCAGGTTATGAGATATCAAAACCGGAAGTTCTGCTGCAGTACCATAACAAGTCGCCAGGGGGTCCATGATTGAATGATTTCGAGATCTTATCAAGACCTACCTACATTCCAAATATCAAGACAATCCATATAAGCCTTCTCTAGTTATCGTTTTGACACTGACACACACACACACACACACACCAACACACACAGACACACACACACACACACCAACGCCCCCCCCCACACACACACCAACGCCTTCGAAAATAGCTTCTTGGCGAAGGTAATAAAGGTAATAAAAGAAGGGTATCTAAATGTATAGTCATGTTACATTGTAGTTTGAAGCGGACATGAAAAAAAAACGCCCCCGAACGGCGGCTTTACTAAGTGCAGGTTTAAACACAGGGAATTCTGTGATTTAGCTTCTTCTTCTCTCATTTTGAGGCAGCCGCCTTCATCTGCCTGAAGATTCTGCTGCCTTTCAAAGTTGTCGCTAATACGAGGCGGGGTTCGCCAGGCCTCTATTCAGGAAAAGTAGTCAAAGTGCATTTTCAAAGAGCACAAGATCGGCAGGCTTCGAACCCGGGACCTCTTGGTTTCAAGCCAAACGCTCTGCCGTTTAATATGCCACATGATCCCAAACAATTCATTTCATTGCAACGAGTTCGGCCCAAACAGTGACTACAACATAAAGGACATATTAAGTGCGGCTCACCTCCTTAAACGGACGTAGCTCGTCTTAAAGGACGAATTTTCACCACCGAGTTCTTCCCCGTCCAAGCATCGTGACTCGCCATCTTGCTCTGAGCAGCAGCGTGGTCTAACCACCTGATAAGGAATCACCATAATTTGCATGTTCTCAATTAAGTAATTAAGTTAGCTTGAACACCGGTGTGATTGTACCATCATAGGCCGTGTTTATGTGAAGTCACCCAAGGCGCTTTACATGTGGTTTACCCCGAAACCGGTTTCAAGTGGCTCCATCTGAACGCTCCAAATTACATTAAAAGCGCCTCTATCCAAAGCCACTTCTAGAGGTGGTTTCGAATCGGTTTTCCCGCATCGCGATTTGCGTCTGAACACAATGTGATTTCAATGTGACTTCACTTGGTCATGGATTATGGGGTGGTATATTTCTATATTTATATGCAATACCAAATTTTACGTGGCAGCAACTTAAAGAGCAGTAATGGTCAAATAATGTGTCCGTTCTAGGGCGAGCTTCACCGCCTCTGGGGGGACCACATCGGCATTCGGCCGAGATACGCTGGGAGGGGGAGACCAGCAAGCAGGTCGTTGACCTCTGACAATAATGACACGCTACCTAGCGTGTTTTCATCAAACAACAATGAATGTAGTTTCGGAGAATCGTGATCGGGCACGTTTTAAAAGGAATGTATGGCACGTGGACCAGATGTGAGGAATGCGAGTTACCCGAATCGCGGTTTGGGTGACTTCACTTAAACACGGCCTTACTTGTTAATGAATCAACATAATTTGCATTTCTTTGTTAAGCTTTAAACCGTATTAAACCAACACTATTATCATTATACCATTATTTGCCTTACCAATATTTTTCTTTCTATCATTCAACCTCAATTGGCGACGGTGGCACTGTCATGATTTTGAGAAAGTCCCGTTGTGGTCTGTGATGAGTTTATTGATAACATTTAAGGTCGCAAGACACATCCAAATGCCAGTTACTTTAATACTTTGTTCTATCGACATCGTAAACCATCCGCATTGTACTGTGCCAAAAGTTCCAACTGATGTGTACAATATCAGTCAGAACGACATCTTCAAGAACTAGAAAGGCCGACATTTGCTCAAGAGCAAATACAGCACATTTCACCCATTCTTTCTCCCCAACTAAATTCTTCTCGGGTCCCGGCCGGGCCGAATAGCCCGATAGCCGCAGGGTGTACTGCGGGGCCACGTAGGGGTCTCACCCGAAAGTGCCCCCCCCCCCCCCAAAAAAAACAGCCCGGAAACTACCCGACAGGGCGACTTTTTCCGATTGGGACCGAAGCTTAAGGCGGGACCGAAGCTTAAGGCGGGACCGTCTTGGCCTGTTTGCTATGTTACGTATGGTTACAGGTGTTACCCTGCGGTTGCATCATCACATTAGCTCAGGTGGAGGGTCCAAAGTCCTACGTTTCTATATTTAAATCTTTGTGTACGTTATCACTGACCTTTGTATTCACCACTTTAGGAAGCATGGCATCTAAGCACTTACACTGAAAATGTCTAAAATCTGATAATTGTACAATTGTTTGGCTGGGTTCAGCAAATGTCTCGTAAAGTGTCCTTTTTGATAATAAACAAAACTTTGCTATAGGATAGGCCTCTCACGTGTAAAATATTATATGTAATCTTCAGTTGAGACAACCGCCATACATAACTTGTATTAAAACTTGTGCTAAACACTTCGTTGTGTTAAACATTTCCATAATCAGTGACAAAATCTAAAAACAGAAAAAAAATCACAAAAGTCTAAATATTTCATGGAAGTCTCCGAATACTAGTTAATTTGTTGTTCTCAAAGAATACTTAAGTCTAATCGCAGACATTCTTTCTGTGTGCCAAACAAAAATCTTTTTCTTCCTTCAAACTTAAAAACAAATCCATTCTGGTGAATCAAACTAGACTCTGTGATTCCATTGCACTTCGTTCTTTCACGAGGACGCCATCTTGGTGACCTTGGCACTTGTGGAAAACGCATATTTCAACAATCGTTCATATGTGCATCTGTTTCTGACTATTACTATTGTTCACATCAGACTGTTCCACATCACGTCTCTATCACGTGTGTTTCACGTGTCTATCACGTGTCAGGGCCAGTTTGGCCAATTGTTACTAACATGGAATAATTCAGTTTTCACACAGTTTCCACTTGGCCGCTTGCTGTCACTTGGCCACCGACGAAGCCACCTCGAGCCATTGCTCTTCTTTTGTCTTCCCTCTCAGTCGCTTTTCCACGGTTCTGTCAGCCAGCATCACAACCAAAACAGGCACCACTGTGGTCAACGCAATGGCCGCCCAAAACCCCGAAGACCCTGGAAGAAAAAGTTACTAGGTGTTAACGTGATTCACTCATTGAACTAGAAAGGTAACATTTGTAAAGCAAATGCACCATGTTTACCATCGCATATCCATATGGTCTTCTCTGTTAATTCTTACTCAAATATTCATATATATGGTGAGACAGGAGCCTAAATCCCTCCTGCTATAAATTGCAACATGATGTAACCCAACACTAGTTACCATGGTGACAGACGTCTGGTCAAGGTCATTGACCTTATGTGAGGAAAGTGAGCAAAAACAATATGTTTTCCTGCGGTAAACATAACAACAATTCGGAGGCCTCACACGCCATGAAATATTAAGAGCTTTGGTGGATATTATCTTTTGTCTCGTTGTTTATGTAAATAAGGTTGAAATGAGCATGATAATAAATTAATGATAGATAAATAAATAAATAACAATAATAAATAGATGAGCATAGTTTTTCCTAACTTTTTCACAGTACTTTTATGTTCACTGTTTTCACGGCCACTACAGTACCGTGAACATTTAATAATACCGTCATCAAATCATTTAACCCCCCTTGCCCTTGCAGCCACCATGAAGATTGTGGTTGTAAAATTGTGATCATGTTCATTTTCCCCAGACCGTGAAATTTTCCTAACGTGAAGATAAAGTGAATTACAGTATGACGATATATTTCAGACCGGTTGACGCCTGTCGACCTTGTCTGAGTCCTCGGTCACCTCTAGCCGTAATACGATCCCGAGGCTTGTGTGGGGTTTTTGTGTATCCTGTATCCTGACTATAGGGAACGGGAAGGGCACGTAGTATTTAGTGACGTCTATTTTGTAATGGGAGCTCTATATGACGTCTACTATGATCTACTATCTGAGTAGGTTTTAAACAAGAGTTCGGAGATCTTATACCTGCAATATAGAGCTTTTGAGAATTTTATTTTATTTTATATTTTGTTTTGTTTACCTTTTTTTATTTTGTTTCATTGATGATGGAAATAAGGTTGTAATTAGAAAAATCTTTTTGATTGATAGCATTCTCTACTCAAATTACATATATTGTATATGTGAAAATCATATCCTTTACCGGAATCAGACGTTGTACTGCAGTACCAAAGAAAGCCGCTAGGAGGCCCATAATCGCCATTGACCTTCGTCCTCCAGAGATCTATCCACATACCAAATATCATCACAATCCATCCATGATTTCTAAAGTTATGCAAAAAAAAAACATGCATACACAAACTCATGGAACCCCTTAGATAGCCTACACTACATGTTTACATGTCTAGCTGCACGTACGCATATCACTGGCAGGTCATTGCCTTTCAGGCACTACTTAAGGGTGTCTGAATCATGCTGGGTTGATACAAGGGAGTTATATCTTGATATGACGTCCTTGGTAATAGTATTGCAGACACTCACAGGACGCGAATTTAGGCATTGCAGGGCCTCTTAGTCTTAGTAGCGTAAATAACATGAAAATTTATTACAGACACTCACAGGACGCGAATTTAGGCATTGCAGGGCCTCTTAGTCTTAGTAGCATAAATAACATGAAAATTTATTACAGACACTCACAGGACGCGAATTTAGGCATTGCAGGGCCTCTTAGTCTTACCAGCGAAAATAACTTGAAAATTTATACTTTAAATACATTTTATTTTAGGACTTTTAGGATTACACGAAAACGTACCGATAGGAAGGTGCATTCTGTACTCATATTGTCTTTGTCAGTTATGCAATTAGCCCTCGGGCATGAACTTTCAATAAAGAACGCCATATTGTTCCCACTTCGTCTCATTGATCAAGTATTGTTTACACACTGCTGTGGTGTGCCCCAGACACAAAAGGTCGCGCTGTGTACACAGGTGGCGGGCACCTAGGCCTGAACCAAGGACAGGTAATGTTGGAACATGCATGCTAACCTGCCACCTCTCCTTGTTTTTCTCACACTATTCAATCAACCAGCATGTAGCAAATGGGTATGCAGCATCAGGGAATGACAGTTTCGTATAACTGATAGTTTTTCCTCAGTGTCTCGAGAGGTGTGGACTTTACCCTCCAAGCAGATGTTACGATCCGTCTCCTTCTTTGTGTTAACACCTGTTTTTGCAACATTTGTTGCCCTTTTCTAGCATTGCATTCTCAATTTTGCACCTTCTCAGTGCACTTTATGCAGAAGACAAATCCTTGAAATATATTATACTAAAAAGCACTAAAATGTTGCAAAAACTGAGCTAAAACACTAGGATTAGACTGTTTCTCACATCTGCTTGAGATCGTAAATCTTTGCACTGACCTTAAGAGCCGTGTATGGTGAAGCCTGTACTGACTATGCATGCTAAACAAAACGAATGAGCTTTCAAATCTATAACAACTCTTGAAGGACACTCAATTGTATGAAAGACTGGAGCAGGCTAGTTTAGCTGAGATATTCAAATCTCCAAGCAGGTCTTTCGATGGCTGCAAATTATTGACACAGTGTCCATTTACCAGACAGTTTCCATTTACTAGACTGTCCTAAAAACATACCAGTAACGGTACAAAAAGATCTAGCCCGATAAAAACACACCAAAACAGGCGAAGCGTAAAACAGTTAATCTCCAAGCAGATCCCTCTCGGTGGCAAAAAGACAGTATCAAATTGGCCAGGCAGTGTCCATTAGCCAGAGAAGCTCCGAGGCCACCGACGATGGGGACCAGGACAAAAAAAAAACGGCCATATATAAAAAGGTAACGATCATTCCCCACAACCTCTGCTTGGAGAGTATAAAACAGTGTGCTTGGAGGGTATAGTACTAAGTACAAGGGAGTACTAACTTACCTATGTGATCCCGGCTGTGCATATGGTACCACAACAGCGTCGAGCGCCCGGTGAATACCCTCCCCTGCCTCGGCAGCCGCCTTCCTGCCGCCCGCAGCAGTTTAAAAGGAGCGTTGATCATCTTGGAAACATGTAGAGCGGGAGAAAAATAGTTCTGTGCTGGGTGTAGTGGGGGAGGTGAGCCTTCTGTCTGTGTGTGTTGTGTGGTCAGGGGTGAATGACATGACATTAGCATATTGCATGATGCAAGACTTAAGACGGGGTCATGTCAGGTCAGAGTACGTACGCGCGTGTTGGTGCAGTGCAAGCGCGTCCTCTTGCGTCGAAGCATAGAAATGCACAACAAAGGGTAAAACATTTGCAAAGCAAATGCATAATGTTTACCTTCGCATATAGTCCGCTCTGTCTTACTCAAACACATTCATATGTAGGGTGACAGGAGTATAAATCCCTTAGCCTGGGTACCATCCGGATTTTCGCTACGCAACGCTCGATTTTTTCGAGCGTTGCGTAGCGAAAATCCGGATGGTACCCAGGCTATAAATCCCTCCTGCTATAAAATTGCAACATGGTGTAACCCAACAGACTGGTTCAGGTCATTGACCTTTTTATTTGTTTGGAGAAGAAACAGAGCAAAAACACTATGTTTTCCTTATGTGAAGGTAAACATAAAAACGTAGTTACCTTCGCAAAGGCTATGTTTTTGGTAGTGTTTGTGTGTTTTCGTGTGTGTGTGTGTAACAAACTGAAAACAATACCTCCATTCACAGAGATCATAATGTAAAAAATAGTTTTATTGCAATTCACTCACTTGTAATAAATAGACATTGGATTATAGATAACAATCAAGATTTTTCTTTCTCAAATATCTTTAAGTTACTACAAATTTAAATAAATAGCCACATAAACAGTAACTTCCCTAATAGGAACAGTTTCTTTAAAATCAGGCATTGCAACATGATTGACTCGAAATAGCGTACATAAGTTACTGGGACTGCATGGGAGCGCATTAGGAAGTAAAAATGACCCTTTGCTCATTCATTTCACATGGCAGAGATGCAGAGAAAAGTGTTCCAACAAACTATGTTGAGACAAATATGTTGGGACCATCACAAGACAGCGGCTGCCATCATACAGCGTTGTTGTTTCATGTTAGGGACATTTCTCCAGGAGTCTGTCTGGGGATCATACATTTCTGCACAGCTCAGGGTGATCCTGGCACCTCCATCCTTCCTGGTTAGAGACTTACCTGCAAAGTAACAGACATCGATTAGCATAAACAAAAATCACCCATAATGTATTGTGCATTGCACTTTGGCAGAATGTCTCATAAAGGTCATATTCGCGTGTATAAGGTAAACAATCTGTCTGTAGTTTCCAAATGTTATGTTGGAAAATATTTCTTCTGCAACAAGCAAAATTCTGATGCAACGGTGACCAAAAATCCAACAAAAACCATGGAAAACTATAGTTTTGTGCAGGCGCAGTACGTTCTGCCAACATGCTCCTCCAGCTAGTACACTACACATGTACTTTTACCTCCAATTACATACAGCCTCCCATTCCATGTCAGTAGAGGACAGTATGTCCTGGACCTGTGCAGACGTGCGATGTATGTCCAGCTGTCTGACTCTGGGCTGTACACTTCTGCTGTGTCCAGCCGCCGGATGTGCTGGTAACCTCCTACAGCATACAGCTTCCCTCCTGTAAAAATTAAAGAACATGTACCTAAACCCTGTGTACCTAAACCCACATTTAGGTTCAGGTCCGGCTTCAAGTCCAGAGGTTTAGGTTCAGTTCCGGACTTGTAAGTCTGGACCTAAACCCATGGCATATGTATTACATAATTGCATGTTGGCAACCTTGCAATGTTGTTTGGGCAAAACTGTGGCCACATAACACGCAGGCCGACACTTGACGATGCCCGATGGCAATGTTTTCTTTATTTTGAAGCACAGATTTTGCAATCTATGGAAGGTTTTAGGTGGTTTGGAAAGAAAAGGGGTATGTGACATGGGTTTTTTTTTTAATAAGTATGGAATCGGTTCTTGACTTTAAGGTTTTTTGTGCTTGAACCTAAACATTTTTACAAGTCCGGAACCGGTCCAGCAAACTAGTACACAGCACTAGTAACCAGTGATGAGACCCACCTAGTTCTGCAAACCCCATCCCAGCTCTTCTGTCCAACATGCTTGCTTTCTCAGTCCACCTCTTCTCATGAAGGTCGTAACAGTGCATCGACGAAAAGACTTCAATCCGACCTAACACTCCACAGCAACTTCCAGTGTGCATCCCGCCCGCTACATACAACTTCCCATTCAATACGGCTCCTCCATGGTAGATCTTTGGCTCCAAAAAATCAGGCAGTCTTTCACACGAATCGTGATTGAGATCCAAAGCTAAGAACGTATGGGAAGATATGAGGTACACAATGTTGTCTGGTTGAGAATGGACGACCGTAGCTCCCTGGAATTCTTGCGGAAGACACGGTAGCTGGAATTCGGAGTTCATGCTAACCCAGTTATCATGTATGGAGCTGTATTTCCACATGTGGTAGGTGATTTTACTGTAGTGTGTAGCCTGGCTGGGGTTTTCAGTTTTCAGGATGTTAAGAACATAGAGGTTGTCGTCCACAGTAAGAGCATGTTGGGAGATGATGTGATGGGGTCCTGACATGGAGGGAGGGAGGTCTGCGATGTCAGACCATTCCTGTGTTTTCAGGTTGAATCTCTCACACTTCGGTGTGGGATTCCTTCCCCTGAAATATGTCAACAAACAATTTCACCTCATTAGAAACTTAAGGGTAACATTTGCAAAGCAAATTTATGCATCATGTTTCCTTCACATGGCCCAGCTTATAACAAACTACAATGTACTGGTTTGTTTGTTCTTACTCAAACACACTCAGATATATGGTGAACACTTGCAACATGATGTAACCCAACACCAGTTACCATGGTGACAGACGTCTGGTCCAGGTCATTGACCTTATTTGTTTGGAGAAGAAGAAGAGGAAACTGAACAAAAACAACATGTTTTCCTTCAGTAAAGCTAATATAAATGAGAGATAACTTACATTGTCCTTGATTGCGTGTGGCCTCCCAAGACATACAAGTATTTGGTGGGAACTCGGGCCTGTACCGGCAGTTGGTCACTTTCAGCCGTTTTGCCCTCTTGTACTCTTCTGAGGTATTCAACACATTCTACATGTAGGAGAAGGCAGTAGGTTATTAAACCAGGTGAGAAATTGTAGAAGTGAAGTACAAAATGAATACAGAAACTCAAGAAGTGGCTGACATATTCTAGTGATTTTTGATACTTTGGTAGCTTAAGTAATGATTGAATAATCAATGCTGATCAGTCAAAATCAGTCAAGTTGTTAGTTAAGTAAATGTCGACATCAGTTGACGTGGAAATCATTTGCATGATAGAAAAATGAGAAAATGCTACAACAGCCTTCTTTGGTAAGGTAAGGCTTTCAAACTCATGAAAACACAGAACTAACCTGGTGACTGTTGTAGACTGCTGTTGTCCAGGGCTTTCTGAAGAACATCATTTGAAACTTGGTTGAGTCGGACAGACTGTAGTACAGGTCTCAGCTCAGTAACTCTGGAGTCTGGGGAGTGATCTAACCACTTCAGCACAATCAACAATACAAGGTCCTCACCTGCACTACCTGTGAACACACAAAAACTGGAACATTTATAAGAACCAAAGAAGTCGTACCCTATTTTGTAAGTGAAACACATGAAAACCTTTTCAATGTTACCTACAAGAGTGCAAAAAAAAAAGTTAAAGGATTTCAAATCCTATTCTAAAGTGAAATCTGCATTTCTACAATGTGGAGTCGTGTGGCGTAACGGCAGAGTGCTTGACTTTGAACCAAAAGGGCCCGGGTTCGAGTCCTGACATGCCACTGATATTGTGCTCTTGGGAAAGGCACTTTACATGACTTTCCCCACTTAACTCAAGTAAAAATGAGTAATGTCCTGTCCTGTATTAGCCTCTATGTGTGGGACACAACACCAGCAACAGCTGCCTGTGTCCCACGTGTATTGTATTGTTGCAATTTCAATAAATCAAATCATTTCCACAAGAACACACCATGAGAGGGAAAACTGACCTAGCTCCAGGTCGTCCAGGCTGAGTATCTGAGTCAGGTGTTCTCCAGACAGCTGTAAAAACTCCTCGCCACCTGCTACAGCTGCGAACCTGGACTTGATGATCTGCAGGGCTGTGTTGACCAGACTGCTGCACATGTACGTCTCACCCAAACACTTCATCCCTAAAACAACACAACACTGTGGGGTCGTGTGGCCTGACGGCAGAGTGCTTGACTCGGAACCAAGAGGTCCCGGGTTCAAGCCCTCATACGCCACTGATCCTGTGCCCTTAGGAAAGGCACTTGACATGACTTTTATCACTTAACTCAAGTGAAAAGGAGTATTGTCTGTCCTGTATTTGTTTCTATGTGTGGGACACAACACCAGCAACAGCTGCCTTTGTCCCATGTGTATTGTATTGTTACAATTTCAATAAATCAAATCAAATAAGTTTATTGCATGTTCAGAAGAGGAAGAGGAAACTGAGAAAAACAATATGTTTTCCTTCATTAAACATAACTGCAATGATTACCTAGGCAGTTGGAAGTGTTTATGAGTCTGAGTAGAAGGTCTGTGCAGCACTTTTTGACGTCTGACAGCTGGAGCATGTCTGCTGCTGCCAACAGGTCCTGGACATTGTCAGGGGTCACTGAACATACAGACATAGTAAAGGTACTTCACTTCTTGCTCATGGTAGCAAAAGTTCACGGTCTGAGAAAAATGGAGGTGTTCACAGGACTTAAGTATATGTTCACAGTGGTGAAAGGTGCAGGAAAAACAAAGTTGGAAAATCTGTGAAAGGTAAGTTCACGGTACAGAAGTGACCACGAAAATCATGAACATATTAAAAGTACTGTGAAAAAAATTAGGAATTACGGTAGAACAATTTTTGGACACTTCCTCTCAACACATTCTTAAACATTTAACTCCTTAATATGTGTTACAAAATGTACATGACAGTTTCATTATAATGTAGAACATAGAATTATAGAATTTTTGTATTTATCATGCAAATTAAGACTTCTAAAGTTTCCAAACCTTCCAGTTCGCCAGTGTACATGTAGTTGATAAGTTGATCCACAGCTAAAGGTTCCAGCCCTCCAACCTCCACCTCTGTCTGCCTGGTCTCCAGCATACCGGCAGTAAACATGGCTCTGAAGTACTCACTCTGTTCCGCTAGTACTCCTCTGTGGGCTGGGAGGGATCTACCATTCACCTACAGGTACAACAGAGCTCCAAATTAATACGTCATGCAGTACCATAACAAGCCGCCAGGGGGCCAGTAAACATGGCTCAGAAGTATTCACTCTGTTCCGCTAGTACTCCTCTGTGGGCTGGTAAGGACCTCCCACACACCTATACAACAGTACAACCAAGAGCACAAGGCTGGTGACTTGGCAGGATTCGAACCCAGGACCTCTTGGTTCTGAGCCGAACATGCCGGCAGTAAACATGGCTCTGAAGTACTCACTCTGTTCTGCTAGTACTCATCTGTGGGCTGGTAGGGATCTCCCACACACCTAAATACAGATACAGCAGAGCTCCAAATTCAGTTTTGGGAATAGGTGCACTCAGGACTCATAATACTGGGTGCATGTGCACTTTGGTGCACCCAAATTTGAAGCTGCATCTGTACACCCAATTTTTTCTGTGGTGCAGCCAACTATTTTTGTAGGTTTACGTATATGAAGATACTAAAATTACATAGGATATAGCATATTATTGACATCTAAGTGTCAGAAAAATAATAAAATTTTAAGATTATTTTACATAAGACAAGGGAAAGGAAGGACCTTCAGCACTAAGGACAGGGGTAACCTCATAATTTGGGTGCACATGCACACAGTATTTCGATCCCTGCTGTAACAGACCACACCATAATCCAAAATCTTGCCATTCCGACAGTTCTTCACACTATATGGTCAATGTAACTCTCCCAGAAAGGGCAGTCTGGTACATACTCTTCAAATCATAGGAAACTCCTTGAGGCATATTAATGTATTGTTGTTAATAAACTTACTGTAATGACAACATCACAGAGCAGCCCGTCCTGTCGCTGGTTGTTCAGCCCGCTCAGAAGTTTCCTGGCGTGGTTCTTGGCAGACATGTGCAGCACATCCGTGTCTGGGGCACTCCTCACCTGACTGGGGAAAACATCTTCAAAGATGGCACGCTATGCACTACTCACCCCTGCACACACACAGCTACAGACACAGCAGATTTGTATAGGCTGTCCTGCCTAAAATCTAGGATTATGCTTAAGGCCAGAACTGTTTTTATCCCGCCAGGAAGCATAGTCCTTAGCCTTTTTGTTCAGCAAACTTGAGGGACCATCCAGCGTCATGTACTATTTGGTCCGCCATGTTTTGGGGGGTCTTCCTCAAGGCCTGGGGTTTTCCATATACAGTTAGTTATACAGTCCCCATATACACACGTATACGTAGAAATACACACACGATCACGAGGTATCACACACATACATGTAACGTTACGTGTATATGTGTAGCGTTACTGACACCACAACTAAACAAGTCTAGTGCTGTTTTCCATACCTCAAGAGCTGTTCTCATCCCAAGTTCCAAGTTCAGAACCGCCCCCCTCCCCAGTCACCCTTCATAACATTATGATGTGTGAACGTACTACCGGTAATACGTACTACTAAAACTTAACACGCAGCAATACTAATAAAGTAGCAGTTACCAAGACTTCTTGCCAGCCATGTCAATACGCTCTGCAACTACTAGCTACTTCTTGATGTTGTGCCTTTTTTCGACGCGCTATCGTGGTCCCGGAAGAAGGTCAAAGGTCAGTCATTCACCTGCAATTGCGCCCCCTGCCAGAAAGTGGTAGAACTGCAATCAGTCTGGTACCCCAATGCAATGCATTGTATTGATAACCTTGCTAACATTAATAACATTCATAACATTAAGACACAACACATTTACTGGACATCAAACTTTTAATAACATGCTTTAATAATATTATTGTACTTATCCCTTGTACAACTGCTTCTAACATGTGAGTTAAAAAAACATGAGCAAGATTTTTGCAGGTAACGTATCGTTACAATTCAACATCAATGCAATATACAGGGCAAAGATCAGCATTGATGGGTAAGACGTGCATTCTAACATTCTACATTCCCTCTTTTCATTTGGAACTTCCACTCCCTAAAATGTCTCATGATCAGCATGAATAAAACCAGTAACATCCGTGTCCATAATATCACCAGGGTCCATAATATCGCCACCTTGAGAAAAAGTGTGCTTAAAGATATTTTTACTGCAACATACCCTAGGTATGTACATTTGATGTGTGCAGGAGTGCATACCAAAAGTATGTTGCAGTAAAAATATCTCAAAGCACACTATTTCTCAAGGTGGCAATATTATGGACCCTAGTGATATTATGGACACAGATGTTAAACCCTATTCAGACTTATGACTGAAAGGGTCTGAATAGGGTTTGCCAGAAAACCAGTATTGGAAGAGTTCAGTACAGTGCAGATAGTACATTGTACAACCCTAACTCTAAGGCTGTCTTGCCAAATAATCAAACACTTGTTATTCAAATCCATTCAGGGCCTTACTAGGGTACTAGCTTCTACATTGTAACACTACATGTTTATTTCATCGCCTCCCCTAACATGGTACTGTACTTCTACATGTTGTACACATTTCATATCATGGTAGATAGATCTAGTAGGTAGAGAGAAGGATAGACACAGACTTCCATATGTACATCCATGTTTACATTCAGTCTGCCACATGATATGACGAAACATGGTCAGATATCACAAGGCCACAGCAAGTAATTTTTATGGATGACATCAGCGCGCGCATTAATTTTCGCCTGATTT